TGTAGGTTACTCCATATAACTGTAATGACTCAGCAGAACTAATGTGCCCCCTGAGCCTGATTTCAGGAGAGACAGCTTCCTGGGCTGCTCCATGAATTCAACAGTGTTAGACATCGGACTCCTGGGTCCCTCTACTGTTATCCCACTTGCTAACCCACCTCTGGTCCTCTATTGATTTACCACAGAAATGTTTTTAAAATTCTGATCCAACGAGACTTCTGAAATAGTAAATAAAGTCTGGCTGCATGGTACAGCAGTAACATGCTGCTCGAGAGGAGTCAGTTTCTCCATGGTGACCATGGTTTGAATCCATGGCCCATCAACCTGAAACATGGTGGGCATAAATGCAAGAAAGTACTCCTCATGGGGAATGATCACGTTGCAATTCCTCCTCCCATCGTATCTGTTATCACTTTAAAGGCATTCAAAGTAATGCACACATGGCAAATTCAGATTAGCACGTCCTGAAACTGTTCGGTTACTGTTTTAGAAACACCTGTAGTTCTCGGAGTGCCGCTCTCCCAAGCTCTCCTTGCCCTGCATCATCTTCTAGGATCAGGAAGGGTGCCAGGCACAGATACCCTACTGGACTACCCATGTAATAATTATCTTACTGATCAGAAACTGGGTCAGGCAGGGGCAGAGGAAGACAGATGGAGAGAGATTTTAGCAGACTCTCGCAGTCATTTGGATCACTAAGGGCATGGGGACGATTTTCCTAAAACAAGCATGGCTATGTTTCAACATGACTACCATTGAGAAGAAAGCAGAGTTGTGCAAAGGCAGCGTTCAGCATAAAGGACAACCACCTGCTTAGCACCCACCCTTCCCTACCAAGGTGTTGCCCACCTGCAGACCATGGACCCCTAGGGGGGCCCACATGATGGCATCCATCTGGCTGTGGGCACTTACTTCAGAGCGCTGAGGTTGAACTCATATGCGTTGTCCCAGAAGAGCACCTTGCTGTGGTAGTCCTTGTCGGCATTACAGGGCACAAGATGCAAAGCGGCCGTGGTTGGCCAAATGACCCCATCCTCCTTCAGCCAGGCATCCCGTGCATACAGGATAGACTCGATCATGAACTCAAACTGCAGGGAGAGAGAAATACACATACAGGAGGCCCAGTTGAGACCCCGTGCCTGCACACCCCTCTCTACCCTATGGCACACTCAGAACACTGTGGGCCAGGAGATTTCCACTGTAACCTCAAGAACATTACCAGGCAGGAGCACAACACATGTGAGCACATCATGAGGTTTGGTTTACGCCCATACATCAGATTGCACTGCAGTCTGGGTCTCAGTCATATCACTGCCCACAAATAGAGTGTGGGCCCAGTCCTCTGGTACAGGAGGTGGTACACTGTAAAAATGGCTGTGCACAGGGAACCGGGTCCTACAGGGTTGACTAGTTTGAATCCCAGTCCCATTGACTTGAAGAACACACTGGGGCCAGCCCATGATGCGGTGGTTAAGACAGCTGGATCCCACATGGCTCACTTCACAGTTCAAATCTCAAACCTAAAAGTCTGAAAAGCATGCTGGCCACGTGTATGTGTGCCCAAAATCCCCAAAGGAGGGAGAAAAGGAGGAGAAGGAATTGTTCCATGATCATTCTCCATAGAAGGAAGGAGTGGTACTTTTCCTCTCCCTCTCTCTGGCAAGTGCATGTGCCCTCTGGCAAACTTAAAAATAAATAAAAGTATGGGCGTCAGGGCCAGCAGGTGGCATGGTAGCTAAGGTGCTGGACTCCCACACAGATGACCATGATTTTAGCTCTGGACCTAGCAGTCTGAAAATCATGCTGGGCGCATATGTGGGGATGCCCAAAATCCCAGGAGGAGAATGGAGGAGAAAGGATTGTGACACGGCCAATCCTCTTACTGTCTCTGCCCTGGGAAGTCACACGCCCTATGGCAAAAATCTTAAGAAAATAATGGGCACTAGCAGATGGCATGGTGGTTAAGGCTCTGGACTCCCACATGGCCAGCCATGGTTCAAGTCCCAGACTTGGTGGCTTGCTTTCTCACTTTCTCTCACTTTTTCTGTCTCTCTCTTTCTTTCTCTCTGTCTCTTTGTCTCTCTCTCTCTCTTATTCTCATTCTGTCTCTCTCTGATGAGCACACATGCCCTGGAGCAAATTTAAAAATAATAATAATGATAAATAAAATTAAATAAAAAATTAAAAAAAAAAAGAAAAAGAAGAAAAACATGCCAGGCACATGTGCATATGTGCCTCAAATCCCAGTGGGATGGAGAAATGGAGAAGGAATTTCAGTGTGACTATGCTCTATTAGGGAGTGCTTTCTCCCTTTCTGTTTCTCTCCAGGAAGTATACTTACCCTCTGGCAAAAAAAAGTATCATCTATTCTAGTTCCTTTACATTCCATATCAATTTTTTTCTTTTTGTTGTTTTTCTATAGGGCAAATGCACTCGTCACAGGAGTGGGGGAGAGAGAGAGAGAAAAATCATCTCCCGTGGGGGATGGTCATGCTTCAATCTTTTCTCCTCTATTCTCCTTTCGGGATTTTGGGCACACATGTACATGTGCCCCATGTGTTTTTCAACCTGCCCTGGCCCAGCACTCAAATCGCACAGTTGGCCACATGGGACCCATACAGCTTAACTACCATACCACCAGCTAGCCTCATTCCATATACATTTTTAAATGAGCTTTACCTATACCCAAAAATTCCTGTTTAGACTTTGAATAGAGTGACACCTACAGATCTGAAAGAGACATCTTCTGCAGGTGGAGTCTTCCAGTCAGTGAACACCCTTTCTTTCCACTTACTCAGGTTGTTTATGATTTCTCTCAGCAGCATTGGGCACTGTTTAGCACACAGATCTTCTATGTGTCTTATTAGATTTCTAAGTATGAACACCTCATGTACCTGAGGGTATCCCTCCACAGTCTATCAAAAACCTGCAAGGCCCCCCTGGGCAGTATGAGGCCACAACCAGCCAACAGACCCCAGCGTCAGACAGGGCCATTCCAGGCTTCCCAGTGCCATCCTCTATGCCATGCACAGCTACAGGACAACAGCTAGGCACTCCTAGGGAGACCTTGACCACACAAGCTAGATTGACAGCTAACTCCTGCCCTAAGTCCACAGCCATACACACCCAGGGAACTCCCAAATATAGACTCATCTCCTCCCCCATCACTTATACTTGTTGATGGTCCCCTGGCTGCAAAGTCCTTGTCATACAAAATACTCTAACCCTGACTTCTACCTCCTTAGTCATACCATGTTACAGCCAAACTGGCCACCTGGCAGTCCCAGAACTCAGGGACACTGGATACCTGTAGCTGCTACTCCCCCACCCCCATCCCTGGAATCTCCCTACTCAGCCAGCCTGGAGTAGAGCCAGACCCTCCCATGGCCAGGCACGCCCCAGTTAGGTGCCTATATGCATGAGGCCCACGGACATGTCCCCACCATCGGCTTACTCCCTGAATATCACCTCCACATCTCTGTGGCTGGGCACCAGAAGAAACCTCATAAATATTACTGAGTAAACATTGGTGTCTGGGAGCAACACCCACTTCATGGATTAATTGTGTAGTCCCTTTTTTCTTGTGTACCATCTTATAGATCCACCAATGTTTTTAGTAAGTCAAGCTGCATTATAGATGTTGAAACCATTTCTACTTTACCTTCTGACAACATAATTTCAACAGGGCTAAAGATCCCACATCATTTGCAATCTCTACAACCTGTAAGGAGCTAAAGAAAATATCCAATAGCCACTTGCTTATCATTTAAACAAGGTATCTTACTAAAAACAGTCACATTCCACCCCACTTCACCCAGACATTTTCACTCTGGATTTTCAGAGAGACTAAAGCTCAAACTGGGATTAAAGCTCAAATTACCATATGTCTTGTGTCCCAAGACACTGAATCTACAAGAGATGGCAAACAGTGTCTGACACTCACACCCACTCCCACCACCTACCACTTTCCTTCCAGGCTGACAGCATTTGTGACAAAGTGTTGCACAGGGTGTGTTCATGGATAATCAGAAAATGGTCCACTTCCACTCATATGTGCAACTCAGACCTGGGGAAGGCCCACATGTGATGGCTTATATTAGGCAAGAGGAGTCCCAGGCCAGGGAAGAGAGCCAAAGAGTCCACCTGTATCAAAGGCACAGCCCAACACACTAGGCAATGGATATTTGCAGGTTCCCTAGAAGAACACAGGGCATAAAAATCACTTATGAGGGGACCAGCAGTTGGCATAATGGCTATGTCATTGGACTCCCATGTAGTCGACCACGGTTCCAGTCTCATACCCAGTGGCTTAAACTCATGCCAGACGCGTGTGCATACGTGCCCAAAATCCCAAGAGGAGAATAGAGGAGAAGGGATTGTGGCGTGGCCATCCCCCCGTGGGGGTGATTTCTCACTTTCTGTCTCTCTGTCTCTGTCTTTCTGGTGAACGCACGTGTCCTATAGCAAAAAACTCTCAAAAGAAAAAAAAAGAAAGAAAAGAAGAAAAAAATCACTTATGAGAAAGTTACATTAACTGTGATTTTAAATTCTCACAAAAGCATTTTTTTAGTCAGTTAATTCAAGACACCGGGGGCCAGCAGGTGGCGTGGTAGTTAAGGATACTGGATTCCCACGTGGCTAACCACAGTTCGAGTCCTGGAACTGGTAGCTTGTTTTCTCATTGTCCTCTTCTTCTCTCTCTCTCTCTCTCTCTCTCTCTCTGTCCTTCTTTGGTGAAATTAAAATAAATAAATGAATAAGTAAATAAAACACAAGCAAAATTGTCCTATTCCCCAGTGGATTCGAATGAAAACTGATAATAAAATCAGGTACAACTCCAAGAGGAGACACTGGAGAAAAACCAAGCTGGGTCAATGAGGAACTGGACAGGATATGGCCTTCATATTTATGCTGTACCAAGGTCACTGTGGTCTTGCCACATCAAGCTGAAAATGGTTACCACTGCCTGGACACATGGGGGTGTTTTATTGGGAAGAAATGCTTCATTTTGTTTCTAAGTTCTGCCTAATTGGTAGTTTGGTTCAGTAATAAATATGTGAAGCCTTTAAAAAAAAAATTCAAGACACTGGGCCAGTAGGTGGCATGGTGTTAAAATGACTGGATGCCACATGGTCAACCACATGTGTGGCTTAGAGTCAAGACCCAGCTGCCTGAGAAATACACTAGGTGTGTGTGCGTTTCCAAAATCCCCAAAGGAGGGGGAGATGGAGAAGACTGCAGTGTAACCATCCTCCATAGAGGGTACTTTCTCTCTCTCTCTCTAGCAAAATTAAAAATAAATATATAACAAAAACTCAACACCTGAGCCAATGTTCACATGTTACTTGTGACCCTTGGAGAGGCCTGCCAGCAGCCCAGGCCCCACCCTTACCAGGAGACAGGTCCCCATCCACTCGGACACCAGCACATCCACCTTCTCAGGCAGTACCACCTCTTCCACCTTCTGCTGAAACACGGTAACGGTGTCAGCAAAGCCCTTCTGCAGGACCAGCTGCCCCGTGTGCTGCGCCATCTCACTGGCCTCCACCGCATACACCTGCAAGCATCATGAGGGCCCATTACTGTCACTGACACTGGCCTGATCCTACATGGCAGCCCTGCCTGCTCCTCTCCTCCTAAGGCAGAGCCAGCCCAGGAAAGAAGCAGGATCTGGACAGTAGCAAACAATACAGGCCTCACCAGGCAACATGGCCCCAGGAGGGAGCCGCCTCTAACACTGCCCTGTTCCTCCACCTCCTGCACCAAGGGCTGACCTGAGCTGCAGCTGGCTCCCACACACAGCAGACACAATCCACAACTGACATAGCAGGCTCTCGGCACCCAGTTAAGAGCAGTCATCTGTTAGGACATCTATGGCCCGAGATGACCTCAAACCAGGGTCTGAGACGATGGGGCTGGTGTAAAGTATCCCAAGTACCATGTTCTCTGTTTCCACAGAGTCTGAACTTAGGTGGTCACTTCCTCTACTCATGTCATGGGAGCTACAGGGCTGTGACTCAGGCCAGCACAGATGCACTTTAATTGGGGGTGAGGGGGCTCAGCACAGATCACAGAGGAGACATCTGTTCTGCCCCATGAGGTGGTGGGCGCTCCCACACATCACCCACACCCGGCGCAGACGTGTACATGCTGTCCGGACTTGTTCCTATATTTAGCAGAAGGAATCATCTCACAAGATTGACACTACCACACACACCTCACCTGGACAGTCTCTTCTGCTCAATTCCACTCTGCTGATTGTGACTCACTGAACTGGCATCGCGCCTTTAATGGGTCAGTCTGAACTCATTCCCATCTCGCCAACACTGAATCTGATACAGAAGAGCGCTCACCAAGACCATGAGTACACGGACCGTCCCTCACGGGGTCCCCAGGAACATGATGGCTACAAGCCAGAATGCCCAGAGGCAGCTGCCCTCCCTGCCTTGGCAGACACTGTCCTTGGCCTCCCACTCACCGCTTTAGGCTGTGCATAATGAGCACAGAAGAGGCTGATGATTCCAGTTCCACAGCCGACGTCCAGGATGACTTTGCCCTTTAGGGATTCTTTATTCTGCAGGATAACGCTATGGTATTTTGTTGTTCGTGGCTGGTCTGCCAGCATTTCCAAGTGGAGTTTCTAGAGAAAACACACACTCAGCATCACCACTGTGCCCCGGAGCCATGGTGAGTGCCAGGTCGAAATGGAGGATCAGGCCATAGCTAAGGCCTCTGGCCCCTCCTCCCCACAGAATATGAGCCACAAGTGAGAGCAGAGCAAAATATGGGTTTTTGGGTTTTAAAAAATCAAAAGACCAGGGACCAGCAGGTGGCATGGTGGTTAAGGCACTGGACGCTCCCACATGGCCAACCACGGTTCAAATCTCAGACCTGGTGGCTTCCTTTCTCACTTTCCCTCTGTCTCTCTCTGTGTGTCTTTCTCTGGCCAAGTTAAAATAAATGAAGGAATAAATAAAATCAAAATAAATAATTCTTTAAAAAACTGTCAAAAGACCAAAATATACCAACAGATAAAAATAAAAGTAGACAGCAAAGGAATAAAAAAGCTTTTGGACTCCTTCCAGCCCAGTACGCAGTGCTGCCTGCAGCTTGCCCAAAGCCAGCTGAGCAGAGAGGCAGAGACAGACACCTGGGGCTGAGGAGCAGATTTTGCCCCTAGAGGAACCCCTTTCAAGACGAGGCACAAATGTCACCCCTGGAGGGATCCCTGGAATGAGGTACAGATGTTGCCCCTGGAAGAACCACTTGGGATAAGGAGCAGGCATCACCACTGGAGGGACCACCCCAGGAAATCCCGTTTCCTGGCCAGACATGATTGAGCCAGGTATCCATCAAGAGAGAATACTGAATGGGAACCAGCAGTTAGCGTAATGGCTATGACGCTGGACTCCCACGTAGTCGACCGCGGTTCATGTCCCGGACCCGGTGGCTTAAAAACTCACGCCGGGCGCGTGTGCGTGCATGCCCAAGATCCCGAGAGGAGAATGGAGGAGAAGGGATTGCGGCGTGACCATCCCCCCCCAGGGGGTGATTTCTCGCTTTCTGTCTCTATGTCTCTCTCTGTCTGTCTGGCAAGCGCACACGCCCTACAGTGAAAATCTCTCAAAAAAAAAAAAAAAAAAAAGAGAGAATACTGAACATGCTACAGGAAGATCCAAGGGAGATGAGACAGGGTGTCCCCCAAAATTCTCTTCACATGGGGCCCAAAAGTCCTTTACTTGCTTGAGAATGCTAAAAGCATAGTTCAGGGGAGGGTGACAGCCCTGGTCAACCCTTGAAGATAAACAAGAAGTCTGTCATGCCTTGAGGCATGAATATACTGACACCCACAAGAGTATCAGTCGGTCCTCAAGGAGGCTGAGAAAGGCTCATTCAGGACAGCCACAAAGACACCACAGTGGTCCAGGCACCAGGGCTGTACCCATTCCCTGCCTTCCTCATAGTTCAGGGGAGGGTGACAGCCCTGGTCAACCCTTGAAGATAAACAAGAAGTCTGTCATGCCTTGAGGCATGAATATACTGACACCCACAAGAGTATCAGTCGGTCCTCAAGGAGGCTGAGAAAGGCTCATTCAGGACAGCCACAAAGACACCACAGTGGTCCAGGCACCAGGGCTGTACCCATTCCCTGCCTTCCTGCTGCAGTAACCCCGGCCCCCAGAGAGCATAATGTAGGGTGTCAGTCATGGGGAAGCAGGGCTGAGACTGACACCAAGACTTAGCTGCACAAACTCAAGGTCTGGACAGGACTTCACACCCACCATGACTGCTCACAGAAACATCTCAGAATCAAAAACAAAAGGAAGGAGACTGTCGAAGTGGACAAGAAGTCAAGGCCCAACTGTGCTGCCTACAGGTTATCGATTCATTTATTCAATGAGCAAGAGAGAGGCAGAAATGGCATCTCCAACTGTGTCTTGACATCACAGTTGACCTGTAGCCTCAGCCAGTCCCTGATGACAGGCACATATAAGAAGTCTCCACGCATGGACCCAGAACCTTCCTGTGGAGGTCAGCCTCTCAGAGCATCACATTTTACTGTTGCCCCACCTTTCAGTCTCTAGTCCATTTTTTAAAAATTATTTCTTTTTTTAATTTTGTTATTTTACTTATTTTTTAATTTGATCAAAGAGACAGAGAGAGCAAGAGAAGGAGAAAGTGAGAAAGCAAGCCACCAGGTCTGGGAATCGAACCAAGGTCGGCCATGTGGGAGTCCTTAACCACCACACTACTTGCTGGCCCCATCTAATTCATTGTAAATACAAACACAGACTATGTTAAAAGCAAAAAGATGGGAAAGGTACACTGTGCTAACACTCATCAAAAGAAAATTGGAGTGGTTACATTAACATCAGAACAAAACACATTTCAGAGCAAAGCATATTTGTGTTAGTTTAAATGTTAGTACACAGTAACACAGGAATCAGTTCATCCAAAGGACATAATAATTCTGAATATTTCTGTACCTAATAACAGAGCTTCAAAATACAGAGTAAAAAGCAATAGAAATGTAAGAATAAATATATATGGTAACAGTAAGAGATTTCAACAGCTGCCTCTTAGTAAATGACAGAAGTAGACAGATAGGAAGAGGTTACGAAGACCTGTACATAAGCATCAGCCAACTGAAGTTTTTAGAACACTTTGCCAACCACTTACAGCAGTGAAAATGAAAAGATTTAGGAATAAATGTAACAAGATACGTAGGTACATAACCCTGTATGATAAACACCTCACAACTCAGAGAGACATAAAATGAAGCTTAAGTAACAGGGAGAGTGGGAGTCAATATTATGTCACTCCTCCCTAAATTGCAGTACAGAAACCTGCAGGAACAACTAAAGCACCAACCAACTTGGCATTGGGAGGGGAGGAGCATCAAAAAAAAAAAAAAATTCATTTCAAAACAATAAACACCCAAGGTTAGCCAGGAAATACTGAAAAACAGAACTGTTAGAAACTTAGCTCTCACAGATCTCACAAAGCTACAATAATGAAAAGAGCTGGAAACTGAGGAAGAAATAAAAAGATCAATGAAGTGGGACCGGCAGGTGGTGTGATGGTTGGGACTGCTGGATTCCCACACAGCAGACCACAGTTCGAGTCCCAGACCTGCAGCTTGCTTTCTCCCTTTCCCTTTCTATCTGTCTCGCTGTCTCTCTCTGGTCAAAATAAAAACTAACAAGTGGAATTAAATAAATAATTCTTTTAAAAATATCAATGAAGCAAAGCAGAGATTCCAAAAGCAGACCCTTGAAATGTAATATATAAGAATGGCATTTCAGGGAACCAGCAGTTAGCATAATGGCTATGTCGCTGGACTCCCACGTAGTCGACCGCAGTTCACGTCCCAGACCCGGTGGCTTAAAACTCACGCCGGGCGTGTGTGCATGCATGCCCAAGATCCCGAGAGGAGAATGGAGGAGAAGGGATTGCGGCATGACCATCCCCCCTGGGGGGTGATTTCTCGCTTTCTGTCTCTATGTCTCTCTCTGTCTGGCGAGCGCACGCGCCCTATAGCGAAAACCTCTCAAAAAAAAAAAAAAGAATGGCATTTCAATGAGTGGAAAAAGAGAATGACCCTTCTACTGATGCGGAGATTGTTGGATGTTTATGGAGAAAAGGAAGACAGAATTTTACTTTATTCTTTACAATAAATTATAGATTGAGTTAAGTATTTCACTGTTTCAAAGGATTGTAAAGAAAGTATGAATATTTATGATCTTGGAGTGAGGAAGTTCTCAACTACATAATTTTTTTCTATTTCATTTTTGAAGTAAAATTTGTTGCTTTTTAAAAATACTGAGAAAAGGGGCCAGTAAGTGGCATAGTGGTTAAAGTGTGGGACTCCCATATGGCCAATTGTGGTTCAAGTCCCAGCCAGACTTGGCAGCTTGAAACTCATGCAGGGCACATTTCTGTGTGTGTGTGCGCCCAAAATCCATAAAGGAGAATGAAGGAAAAGGGATTGTGGCATGGTCATCCCCCCAGGAGGTGATTTCTCATTCTCTCTCTCTCTCTCTGGTGAATGCACATGACCTATAGCAAAAATCTCTCTCAAAAAAAAAAAAAAAAACTGAGAGAAGTTCATAATCCCACTGCTCAAACAGTACCTTTAAACTAGGGAATAGCAAACAAGCCTACCAGACAAATTCAGTCACCACCTGTTTGTACATGGCCTCCAAGCTAAAAATGGCTCATTTTTTAAAACAACTTTCTTGAATCAAAATAAGAATACTTATGACACATGAAAGTATATGAAATACAAAATTTAATGGGAACACAACCATGCTCACTTTCTGTGTTGTCGACAATAGCTTTTCGTACTGTAAAAGCAGAGTAGCTGTGACAGAGACCCCAAGGCTTGCTAAGCTCACAGGCAAGTTTGCAAGGCCTGTAGTGAACAAGTGAAAACAGCCCAGAAATTATTTCTGAAAAGTTAGAGCTTATAACTGGAGAGAAGAACCCGTCCCATGGCCCGCAGAGATCTAGAAAGCAGTACCAGCGTCCCATAGCTGCCAAAGTACTCCTCATCCTGCCATGTGTCCTCAGGGTCATACTCCTCCACCTGTTTCCCCACGTGGTTTGCTGGTATGTACCCGCAGCAGCCTGCACGCTCGCCCCACCACCAGTCAGCAGTGGTCTGTCTCAGGATTAGAATTTTTTCTCCTCTCAAAAAACTCAGCTGGAAAAAAAAGACAGGCAGATGTTAAGATTCATCAGAAAAACCAGTAAGTGGTATTTCAACATGGCTCAGTGACAAACCCATCATTGTGATCAAATCATGGCATTTTCAAGAAGAAATCAGAAGGTAATTATAGCAACTGGCCATTTACAAAAGTGATACTGGAAATTAGAGATTCCAAAGGACACCCCCTAAAAAAAGGGCACAGCTTAAATGCTATTTCTAAAAAGAAAAGGAGCAAATATTTCTATGGCATAGGACAGCATTCTACAGCGTCCTCAGTATAACTCAGCCATGCTAAGGTTTTTCTTAGTAATTCCTGTCACAAACTAAAGACAGCAAGCTGACATTTTTGATAGCCTAATTTCTTTCTCAGAAACCAGCAAGTTTCTAAATCGAGGTCTTCAAGCAGAAAGTGGAGCAGGAGCTTCTCCCTCGGCTGACAACACTACTTACCAGATACCTGTGTGTTGTTCTTGGGGTCAGAACGTGGTAGGCTGGAAGTGAGGGTCACCCCCAGGTCTCATGGGGTTTATATGTCTGAATACTTCTTTATTCGCTGTGGTATAACTGCTCCAACATTCACATCTTATTTTGACACCAAACAAGCTGACATCCACAAATGTAGGCTGACAAGATAGCTACCTGGGTCTCGTCAGTGGCAGCGTAGTCTGCAATGGCCACAAACTCTTCTGGCTGCACCCTGTCCTGGAGGAGCTCTTCCTCACCGCCCCTAACAGCTTCTTCCTCCTGCTCAAAACCAAGGCAGCACAAGGCTACGTTATTAGGCTGGTTTCAAATGAAGATTCTGTGACCAAGTATGTATGTATGTATGTATATATTTTTTATTTAAAGGTTTTTTTGTCATAGGGCATGTGTGCTTGCTGGAGAAAGGCAGTGAGAGGGAAAGTGAGAAATCACCCCCCCAGGGGGATGACCATGCCACAATCCCTTCTTCATTCTCCTGGGATTTTAGGCATGCGTGCAAATGTACCTGGCTTGATTTTTTTTTTTTTTTTTTTTTTTTCTAGATGGAGGATGA